TCAAAATTAAATCGTCGTAAATTTAATGAACTCCTTAACTGACTCATTGCAACATTTCTCATTGATCTATTATATTTTTATTCTACATCATTTTGTATTATAACTATGTTATATTATTTCTTTATTTCAAATGTTGAGTGCTATGTTACTGCTATGTCTTTTTAAATGCTGTTATTAAGTGGGGTTTTTTTTGTTTTTTTTTTTGGTGTGTTTTGTTGTTTTTTAAACGACCAATGTGAAAAAAGGCCTCCGTGACTACTGTTACCGTAATTGAATAAATTGAATAAATTGGGTTGTCTTCTGAAGTTCAAATGCTCTCTGAACTTGATGCAAGCGCTTGTTATTTTGACGATCGTAGGTGTATCATTGATGCGTCTGCCTGTGTGTTCGCTAAATACGGACGTCAAGAACAAACTCTCCTTAAAGGTGATTGGTTCAGTACTGGCAGAAAACTGTCCTCAAAGGTGATTGGTTCAGTACTGGCAGGGTCCAGAGATTTGTTGACGATTAAACATATCGGCTGTTGGCTGGGTCATCGGGAGTTTAGGGTCGTCAACAGACCCATGTTGTCCAGCGGGTCCTACTAGGGTCGTCAACAGACCCTAGTGGTCGAGGATCGTCAAAAGACCCCAGTAGTCTAGCGGGTTCCAACAGACCCCAGTTGTTTAGCGGGTTCCAACAGACCCCAGTAGTTTAGCGGGTTCCAACAGACCCCAGTGGTTTAGCGGGTTCCAACAGACCCCAGTAGTTTAGCGGGTTCCAACAGACCCCAGTAGTTTAGCGGGTTCCAACAGACCGCAGTAGTTTAGCGGGTTCCAACAGACCCCAGTAGTCTAGTGGGTTCCAACAGACCGCAGTAGTTTAGCGGGTTCCAACAGACCCCAGTAGTCTAGTGGGTTCCAACAGTAGCGGGTTCCAACAGACCCCAGTAGTCTATTGGGTTCCAACAGACCCCAGTAGTTTAGCGGGTTCCAACAGACCCCAGTAGTCTAGTGGGTTCCAACAGACCCCAGTAGTTTAGCGGGTTCCAACAGACCCCAGTAGTCTAGTGGGTTCCAACAGACCGCAGTAGTTTAGCGGGTTCCAACAGACCCCAGTAGTTTAGCGGGTTCCAACAGACCCCAGTAGTTTAGCGGGTTCCAACAGACCCCAGTAGTCTAGTGGGTTCCAACAGACCCCAGTAGTTTAGCGGGTTCCAACAGACCCCAGTAGTCTATTGGGTTCCAACAGCCCCCAGTAGTCTAGCGGGTTCCAACAGACCCCAGCAATTTAGCGGGTTCCAACAGACCCCAGTAGTTTAGCGGGTTCCAACAGACCGCAGTAGTCTCGCGGGTTCCAACAGACCGCAGTAGTCTAGCGGGTTCCAACAGACCGCAGTAGTTTAGCGGGTTCCAACAGACCCCAGTAGTTTAGCGGGTTCCAACAGACCGCAGTAGTCTAGCGGGTTCCAACAGACCGCAGTAGTCTAGCGGGTTCCAACAGACCGCAGTAGTTTAGCGGGTTCCAACAGACCCCAGTAGTTTAGCGGGTTCCAACAGAACCCAGTAGTTTAGCGGGTTCCAACAGACCCCAGTAGTTTAGCGGGTTCCAACAGACCCCAGTAGTCTAGTGGGTTCCAACAGCCCCCAGTAGTTTAGCGGGTTCCAACAGACCCCAGCAATTTAGCGGGTTCCAACAGACCCCAGTAGTTTAGCGGGTTCCAACAGACCGCAGTAGTCTAGCGGGTTCCAACAGACCCCAGTAGTCTAGTGGGTCCTACAAAACTTATGAAAAATGTTGGTGTACTGGCGGTACAAATCCTCAAAATTTCAGGCAAAAACAAAATAAAATAAACAGTGGATGATCCTAAATCGCCAGAGCCATGTCATGATGCATGCGTGCATCTATTTTGGGTGACTGCGTGAAAACGTTGATGAGACTAAATAGTTGGCGCATGAAAGTGCACTTGAGTTTACAAGGACAAATTTTAAAATACATTGGAATACTGGGTAATGACACACTTGTAAAACAGCGTGCGGCGTCAAAACGGCCAATGACAAAACAGCCCTGTCAAAAATACCGCGACAAATCGGCCCCGACATAAGAGCTCTGTCAAAAGGGCCAGCAACATATAAACCCCGTCATTTAGGCTCCCGACAAATAGGCTCCCGTCAAAACGAGGCTGTTTAGACTGGGTCGTTTTGTCGGGGGTCTATTTGACGGGGTCATATTAACGGGGCCGATATGAAGGGGGCGATTTGTCACGGGCCGTTTTGACAGTGCACCATCAAATAGAGTCATAAATAGACATAACAAATATAGTTAACACAATTGACATTTGATAAAAAGAAAATAATACCTAAAAAAATCATTAAATCTAAATCTGACTTCATAAGATAAATCAGCATACTAAATTAACAACTATTGATTTTCTATGTTCATAGACTATGACGTTTGAAATAAACAAAGCTTTATAAATATTACTCAAATCATCTCTAATTTTAAAGCTATAACTACTCAATACGATGATCAAGCTAGTATGTAAAGCAAGAATCTTTTAAAAGCACAGAAAACAATGTAACAGTTCAAATAAGCTAATATTTTTAAAAGCAGAGAACAAAGCTTAAATTATAAACTTTTTAGATTTAAAAGATAAGCTGAAGCAGACCTACTACTACAAAGAATCACATGACAAATTAACTTCTGTGTGTACAAACTTGTACTCACCAAATAGTCAAACAGCGCGGGAAGAAAACATTGAGCAGAAATCACGTGAGGTACGTTGTGGCGCGTGTAGACACAGTCTTACAAAAGGCAAATAAAACATATGGTGGCGACACCTGGTGGCTGGGACTCATCAACCACTCAGAACATTCGCCCTGTTGAAAGATCAAGGGAAGAGGATCACAATAAAATAATTGAAAGATCATTTATAGAGGATCACAATAAAACATCGAAAGATCATTTACAGAGGATCACAATAAAATAATTGAAAGATCATTTACAGAGGATCACAATAAAATAATTGAAAGATCATTTACAGAGGATCACAATAAAATAATTGAAAGATCAAGGGAAGAGGATCACAATAAAATAATTGAAAGATCATTTACAGAGGATCACAATAAAATAATTGAAAGATCATTTATAGAGGATCACAATAAAATAATTGAAAGATCATTTATAGAGGATCACAATAAAATAATTGAAAGATCATTTATAGAGGATAACTATAAAAAGATCATTTACAGAGGATCACAATAAAACATCGAAAGATCATTTACAGAGGATCACAATAAAATAATTGAAAGATCATTTACAGAGGATCACAATAAAATAATTGAAAGATCATTTACAGAGGATCACAATAAAATAATTGAAAGATCAAGGGAAGAGGATCACAATAAAATAATTGAAAGATCATTTACAGAGGATCACAATAAAATAATTGAAAGATCAAGGGAAGAGGATCACAATAAAATAATTGAAAGATCATTTACAGAGGATCACAATAAAATAATTGAAAGATCATTTATAGAGGATCACAATAAAATAATTGAAAGATCATTTACAGAGGATCACAATAAAATAATTGAAAGATCATTTATAGAGGATCACAATAAAATAATTGAAAGATCATTTATAGAGGATCACTATAAAAAGATCATTTATAGAGGATCACAATAAAATAATTGAAAGATCATTTACAGAGGATAACTATAAAAAGATCATTTACAGAGGATCACAATTTAAAAAGTGCTTTGTTGTGCTACTGTCCCGCAGATGGTGTTGTCTGATGAATCGGTCGAATGGTCCTTCAATTAGAGGTGGTCGATGGACGACCATCCACGCTGGTCTGTCACATGGTCTATCTCTAGACCATTGTGGTCTAACGCAACATCTTTTTTTTTATCCTAATGTACTTTTCCTGACGATGTGTTTCAGTAAATTATCTACAAACAGAACAAACACCATGAGATATAAACAAACAGAATATATAAGGTAAACTATAAACAAACATAATATAATTATAAAGTAAACTATAAACAAACAGAATATTTAAGGTAAACCAGTGGCGTAGCCAGGATCGTCTCAAGGGGGGGGGGTCCAATTTTTACCCGGGGACAAACTTTCGATTTGCACTCCCCCCCCCCCCTCAAACTTTCGATTTGCACCCCCCCCCCCTCAAACTTTCGATTTGCACCCCCCCCCCCCTCAAACTTTCGATTTGCACCCCTCCCTCAAACTTTCGATTTGCACCCCCCCCCTCTCATACTTTTTCTATATACCGAGGGGTCTATGGGGGGGTTATGACCCCCCTAACCCCCCCCTGCCTACGCCACTGAGGTAAACTATAAACAAACATAATATATAAAATAAACTATAAACAAACAGAATATATAAGGTAAACCATAAACAAACAGAACATACAAGGTTAACCAAAAAACAAATAGAATATAAGGTAATTTATCTACAAACAGAACATACAAGGTTAGCTAGAAATAAAAAGAACATAAAAGGTAAACCTATAAACAAACAGAACATATAAGGTAAATTATCTACAAAGATAACATATAAGCTAAACTATGACCATGTTAACAAATTGTGCACAAATAGTTAAACAGAAAGGTAACTATGAACAAATAAATAATATTAGGTAAACTATAAACAAACACAACATAGAGGGTAAGCTTTGAACAAAAGGTAATTACATTACAGTTTATGTTTTTCTTGTAGCTTTGATAACTTTGAAATGAATCGTTTCATTATCATTTTGTTTCATGTTTTTAGAGGTTTTTTTTTTTCTTACGACACAGTTCCGATTGTGGGTCTTTGCCCCGGCTTATAAGAATTGAGATGATGGTGTGAGCGATGGTGTGAGTGATGGTGTGAGTGATGTTGAGAGTGATGTTGAGAGTGATGTTGAGAGTGATGTTGAGAGTGATGTTGAGAGTGATGTTGAGAGTGATGTTGAGAGTGATGTTGAGAGTGATGTTGAGAGTGATGTTGAGAGTGATGTTGAGAGTGATGTTGAGAGTGATGTTGAGAGTGATGTTGAGAGTGATGTTGAGAGTGATGTTGAGAGTGATGTTGAGAGTGATGTTGAGAGTGATGTTGAGAGTGATGTTGAGAGTGATGTTGAGAGTGATGTTGAGAGTGATGTTGAGAGTGATGTTGAGAGTGATGTTGAGAGTGATGTTGAGAGTGATGTTGAGAGTGATGTTGAGAGTGATGTTGAGAGTGATGTTGAGAGTGATGTTGAGAGTGATGTTGAGAGTGATGTTGAGAGTGATGTTGAGAGTGATGTTGAGAGTGATGTTGAGAGTGATGTTGAGAGTGATGTTGAGAGTGATGTTGAGAGTGATGTTGAGAGTGATGTTGAGAGTGATGTTGAGAGTGATGTTGAGAGTGATGTTGAGAGTGATGTTGAGAGTGATGTTGAGAGTGATGTTGAGAGTGATGTTGAGAGTGATGTTGAGAGTGATGTTGAGAGTGATGTTGAGAGTGATGTTGAGAGTGATGTTGAGAGTGATGTTGAGAGTGATGTTGAGAGTGATGTTGAGAGTGATGTTGAGAGTGATGTTGAGAGTGATGTTGAGAGTGATGTTGAGAGTGATGTTGAGAGTGATGTTGAGAGTGATGTTGAGAGTGATGTTGAGAGTGATGTTGAGAGTGATGTTGAGAGTGATGTTGAGAGTGATGTTGAGAGTGATGTTGAGAGTGATGTTGAGAGTGATGTTGAGAGTGATGTTGAGAGTGATGTTGAGAGTGATGTTGAGAGTGATGTTGAGAGTGATGTTGAGAGTGATGTTGAGAGTGATGTTGAGAGTGATGTTGAGAGTGATGTTGAGAGTGATGTTGAGAGTGATGTTGAGAGTGATGTTGAGAGTGATGTTGAGAGTGATGTTGAGAGTGATGTTGAGAGTGATGTTGAGAGTGATGTTGAGAGTGATGTTGTGAGTGATGTTGTGAGTGATGTTGTGAGTGATGTTGTGAGTGATGTTGTGAGTGATGTTGTGAGTGATGTTGTGAGTGATGTTGTGAGTGATGTTGTGAGTGATGTTGTGAGTGATGTTGTGAGTGATGTTGTGAGTGATGTTGTGAGTGATGTTGTGAGTGATGTTGTGAGTGATGTTGTGAGTGATGTTGTGAGTGATGTTGTGAGTGATGTTGTGAGTGATGTTGTGAGTGATGTTGTGAGTGATGTTGTGAGTGATGTTGTGAGTGATGTTGTGAGTGATGTTGTGAGTGATGTTGTGAGTGATGTTGTGAGTGATGTTGTGAGTGATGTTGTGAGTGATGTTGTGAGTGATGTTGTGAGTGATGTTGTGAGTGATGTTGTGAGTGATGTTGTGAGTGATGTGAGCGGAGTTCAGAAAACTGTGCTGTTATCGTACGGCTGAGCGAAGCTATTGTGGCGTGAACTATGTTCACAAACAAGTTACCAACAACACAGGGGCTGTTGATCATGAATATTGTAGGCACGCTGGTTAGGCTCAGTATGGAGTGTCTGTAAATAATGCAGTGACGTACTCTGACACGTGTGTGTAAAACTGCATTGATGTATTGTGACACGTGTGTGTAAATCTAAAAATTATGACAGTGGATTCGTCGCGGGTGAACGAATGTATGGTTTCGACGATTACATGAATGAATGATTTAAGGATTTGTGAAAAAGAAACCGTTATTTGATAGAGCATCATAATGACGTACGTACAACTCTTTTGTTTTTCATCTAGAAAAAAATCTATACCTGCCTATGGGGGCGAGGGGGGGGGGGGGTAGTAGCTCAGGCGTTGAAAGAGGGCGACTACTTCGAAACACAACCCTCTAACTTAATAGAATCGTAATATAATTCACCTTAGTCAATACTTTCATTCTACAACAGAAATAGGTACCCGCTGCATGTAAGGGGGTGGACCTTATGTCAATGTGGTTGTGTGGCCCTCAAACAACTGCTACTGTCACGTTGCCTTACATCTATCTCCCACTGCCACGTTGCCTACCATCCACCTCCTACTGTCATGTTGCCTACCATCCACCTCCTACTGTCATGTTTCCTACCATCCATTTCCTACTGTCATGTTGCCTACCATCCATTTCCTACTGTCACGTTGCCTACCATCCACCTCCTACTGTCATGTTGCCTACCATCCACCTCCATCTGTCACGTTGCCTACCATCAACCTCCTACTGTCACGTCGCCTACCATCCACCTCCTACTGTCACGTTGCCTACCATCCACCTCCTACTGTCACGTTGCCTACCATCCACCTCCCACTGCCACGTTTCCTACCATCCACCTCCTACTGTCACGTTGCCTACCATACACCAACTACAGTCACGTTGCCTACTATCCACCTCCTAATGTCACGTTGCCTACCATCCGCATCCTACTGTCACGTTGCCTACCATCCACCTCCTACTGTCACGTTGCCTACCATCCACCAACTACAGTCACGTCGCCTACCATCCACCTCCTAATGTCACGTTGCCTACCATCCAACAACTACAGTCACGTTTCCTACCATCCACCTCCTACTGTCACGTTGCCTACCATCCACCTTCTACTGTCACGTTGCCTACCATCCTTCTCCTACTGTCACGTTGCCTACCATCCACCTCCCACAGCAACAATGGCAGCCAGACCTCAGCCTTACATTTATATTGCAACAAGGGACAAAATCCGAAAAGAATCAATCAAAGAACACCATCAGATTTATCGAACATCCATACTGACGTCAAATATTAATTTTTTAATGCTTCCGATAATCGAGATAATTTTTGTCAAAAAAAAAATCCCTCCCTGATAACGTCGCAAGCTGCACATCCTATTGCGTCTTGGGTTACTTCACTCATTAAATCCCAAACCTCCCGGTGGGCGATATCGATTCCTTGTAAACAAATGACACCGATTACTCCGATTAGTGTTTCTCCTAATGCAGCAAATTGACTAAAATTATTAAAATAATCGTTTGCATGCAGGTCGGGTTTGTAATAGATAATGAAGTTCCCTAGCGTGTGTTTGTACGTGTATTGTTTTAGTGCGGCAAGTATATAAAGATGCAGCGGAGCTGGGGATACGATAGTAGTTTAGTTTCGAATCTGTTCGAAACGTTGAAACGGTGAGTGCAAATAGGAAAGTAACACATCAAGGCGAACTGAACTTCAGTAACATATTGTATGTCACATACACCAAGCACATTTAACGTGTCTTTCTACGAGTATGTCTGTGTGTATGCGAGTGTATATGTATTCAGTATTCGAATTTTTTGGTAAATTGGATCTGAAAAATGTCAACTGTCCCCCGTAGAGGCGAGAAATCGTGTTGTTGTTTGAGAACGTGTTTGAAAGTTGAGTTTTGCCACCATTTGAGTTGCTAGTTTATGAACACATAAAGAAGAGAGGGGGGGGGGGGGGGGGCGGGTTTTACTATGAAATCACCAAAATAAATTTTTAAAAAAACATAATTGAAACAAGCTCCCTAATAAAAGTAGGCCTACATTTCACTGTCTCCTGGCATTGCAAAGATTTTAACTTTGATTTTTTTTTTTCACTATGATAGCTTGATAATAAAATTTACAAATCTTTCTAAAAACTTCGCCAGCCATCGAAATTAACTTGGAGTACATCTCTAGCGGCTAGAAGAAGCTGCTCGCGTGGGATCCTGGGGGAATGTGAAGATCTCTCTTACTGCGGTGGATGAGCGGATGTTGAAAGTAGGTCGTCTGCGCTTGTTCAAAGAGAGGCCAGTGGTACTCCCCTGAAGACTTTCCAGACGATATCAGGCAATCATTCGTTTTGTTAGACGTTTTAAGTGTATAAAATGGAAACGTCGCTCAATTTTTCTGTGTGAAGAAAATTTGATCACTATACAACGTTCAAGTGGTACAAATTCTTCCGTTTGGTAAGAAAAAAAAAAACATTCGAATCCCAGCGGCTCATATGTTAAAAATTGAACGGGAGTTATGTTGTTTTATTTTTATTTTCATAGCTTTTTAAAGATGAGATTAAATTAACTTTATGCGATAGATCAGGCTTTTGCATCTTGTGAAGGGAGATCAAAGGGAAGCCCATCTAAAAGCCATACAAAGTTATGGCTGTAACAGCCGTTGTGTGCGTATTGTGGTCGGTGTTGGTAGAGGCTGTAGAAATGTCGTGGGCCTTTGTTTGGTCGTCGTCTTAAGATGTGGGCCGTTATTGGTGGGCCGTGGCTTGGCCGTGGTGAAATGAGGCCTTTTTTTTGAGGGGGGGGGGGGAATACGTCCCTTGGTCGTGTTATCAAAATGTGGTCGGTTACTCGTGTTCAGTGGCTAGTCTATGGTCTACATGCTTTGTTGACGGTGGGCTGTATCCCAGGTATGGTCTTCTAGATGTGGGCCCCGCAGTTCAAATCCTTAAATTGCTCTAGCCTCTACCCGACCTCAAGTGTCTATAGCCTCTATCCGACCACAAATTGCTATAGCCTCTTTCCGACCGGGGGCGGAACTACAGTGCCGGGGGGGGGGGGGGCACGCCGTTTAGGGACCCACAGCCGACCATAATCAATTTCTTTTTTAGTTAAAAAATGTAATTATCTTTCATTTTTACTTTCTCGTATATACGAAGTATAGAGAAAGTCTTGTAATCGTGCAAAAAAAAATTTTTTTAGATTTTTACAAATCTCGACGTATTACATCTCACTGATACGAAAAAAACATAATTTTGCAATCTTGTCCGTATGTCTGTGTGTCTGTGTGTCTGTGTGTGAGTGTGTGAGTGTGTGTAAACACGATAACTTGAGTACCGTTACAGCTAGGTTGATGAAATTTCATATATAAGTATTTTATCAAAATCGTAGATCCGTATCAATTTTTGAGTGATTTCCGATAACCGGAAGTGGTACTTTTTCTACTTTGAATTTTTCAAAAGCCTATAACTTGAGTACTATTTCAGATAGATAAATGAAATTTCACATGTAAGTACAAAAAATCTAATTCTCTACCTTCTGTTAAATTTTGAGTAATTTCCGTTGACCGGAAGTAGTAATTTACGCTACTTCCGATTTCTCAAAAAACTAATGTAAATTTTTAAAGTACTAATAATATTGCGCACCATTATGAACATCTTTATTCGGCGTTCGCTTGGTGTGCAATACTTTTTTCTATGAGATTCTATTTTATTTTAACACGTTTTTCTTAACTCAGCTTCGCGTTTGTTTGTTTGTTGTTAAAATTGACATCGAAAATTAGCCCACTTCTGATTGCTCTAGAGACCTGAAATTTGGCATGCATGCTACTTTCGCCTAACAATCTCAGATGCAATCATAAAAACTAGCAATTAGTGACCGTAATTAGCTTAATTTAATTACGCCCCAAGGACCATAAAATTGAGGACATGATTTCTAAAGATACCGACAAGACTTGAGGCCTATTGACACAGTTACTTCGGCCCCAATCGATGTGAGCGCGCTGGCCGTGATCGTATAGTGGTTAGTACTTCGCGTTGTGGCCGCGACAACCCAGGTTCGAATCCTGGTCGCTCAAGATTTTTTTAGTCCGTGTATTTATAAACACTTTTTTAAAAACCACGTTTTTCATGTGTAGCAACGGACTAAAAAGGAGAAAATAAAATACTTAAAAAAAAACTTTTTAAAAAACCACGTTTTTTATGTGTAGCAAGGAGAACGGACACGGTAACACATTGTTAACGGTGACACGGTTGGTACGCTGGGCATGCTAAAATACACATAAACACGTTTTTCCTTAACTCAGCTTCGCGTTTATTTGTTTGTTTATGGGAGATTTGATCACGTGATTCGTGAGTAGATCTCCACGCCAGCAACGTAAATTACACCCTTTCTCTGTTTAAAGCG